CTTGTCTTGGATTTTAGCTTTGACATTCTCAATAGTGTCACTCGGCTTGACCTTGAGTGTGATGGTCTTGTCCATCCGGGTCTTCACAAAGATCTGCATCTCTGCGTCTGTTGGGGAGGCTGCTCTGCTGCCTCCTTGAAAAGAAAGAGCCATTCTGCAGTTCTTTTGAAGCTCAAATCTGATCATGTCACCTTCCTGTTTAAAATGACCCAATGACTGCCAATTGTAAAAGACCCTGTTAATCTGCCCCTCCTTTCTTTTCCAGCCTCATTCACAGGACACTCCCCTAACTCAGAAACACCCCCACTGGCCTTCTATCAGTCCCCCTGAAGCTATATGTGTCCTCTGTGCCACTGGGCCTTTGCACATGTTACCATATGCACAATTGTTTGGTTAATGTTTGTTTCTTCCTCTAGACCAGGGTTTGGCTACCTATAGCATACTAGCCAAATTTGGCCTACCACCTGTTTTTGTAAGTAAAGTGCTATTGGAACACAGCCACCTCCATTTGTTTCTTTATTATCTAAGGCTACTTTTGCACTACAACTGCATAGTTGAATAGTTGCTATAGAGATAGCATGGCCTGCAAAGCCTAAAATATTTACTATGTACCCCTTTACAGAAAACTGTTGCTGACCTCGCCCCTACATTATAACTTCCATGAGGAGCATGACTAGGCCTGTTATTTTTTACCATGGCAACTGTAGCATTTAGAACAATGCAGGCACACAGCTGATGCCCAACAGATACTTGTTGAATAAATAAATAATTTGTCAAAGATAACAGTTCACAAATGGCAAAGCTGTTTCTCAAATCCAGAGACCCAGGCTCCTGTCCCAAGAGTCCTTCTTTCATCATACCACATGGAATCAAGGACAATTTTGTGCTTAGTCCACTGAAATCACCAATTTTCTATTTTCTGATGTTCATCTTTCTCATATCAATATTCCAAATAACATTTTGTTTTCCTTTGTGTGAAAACAATACAAAAGGAACTCTGATCTTTCCCAGGTCATCTTGTCTTTTCTAGTCTTTCTTTTCCCAACCATCTAATTATTTTTTTCTTAGCAACTTCATCTTTAGAAACTTCCCAGATCGTGCGTTCCTTTTGCCAACTACCCAATAGTCTTAATTGTCATCTCCACAAACTGAAATTACTGTAATAACCAGACCTGTCAGCCATGGCTTATAATTATAAGAATTAAGATGGGGTATTAGAACTTTGGAAATGGAGACCGGGGACCAGAAACACAGATTAAAACAGACACACACGCATGCACAGAGACAGTGACTGTCTGCTTTAGAATACTTTCCTCTGCATTATTCTCATACATCCTTGGTTATGGCTTGCTGTGGGAAGGATGCCAGAGACATAACAGGTAAGAAAGCAGGCTCTCGGCTCACAGTGCCTAGATATAAAAAAATCCTGGCTCTGCCAAGGATGAGCTGTGTGACACTGGGTAACTTCCTTATGCGTCATGTTTTCCATTTGTAAAATGGGCATGGTAATGGTCTCTATCAGAGTTGTCTGTGAGAATTATATGAATTATTACATGGAAAATACTCAGAATAATGACTGGCATTGATAAATAGTAACTACTGCTCCCATGAATGGGAGCTGAGCTGTATTTCTCAGGACTCAGCTATCTTTTTTCAAAAATGGGAAGGTTGGGTTAATTTTCACATCTCCCTTTCCCTTGTTTCAGGTGAATGGAAGATTAATTGTTGGTTCATTAGGTATGTCAGAATATTCATCACCTCTCCTCTCCCTCCTCTAATACTTTTCCAGTTTGTTACAAATTTGAAAACCTGAGGCCCATTCTTGGTTCTGTACTGTCAGCCCATAGATTCCATTCTGTTTCTTCCTGACTTCTACTCCATCACCATGTCATCACCACTTTGGAACTAACCTCTCATGGAAAGAGCCACAGGAAAACTTCCTGTTTCTGTCATTTCTTGCGACTCAGCCATAGGCAATCTTTGCCTTGAATAGAAAGTCCCTTTCCCTGGAAGCGCTAGTTTAGCTAATTTCTAAATACATTTCCCCTCATTATCGGCCAAATTGCATTTATGCTAGCACCACCAGTCACTGAGGTACAAGGTTCAAAACAACAGTAACAATAATTGCTCCCTGGTGGCAGCTGGAAAGAGCCTCCAAGGCACTTGCAACAAATACATCCCCTGTGGAAGATGACTAAGCAACTGTTTTTCTGCTCCCTGCAAAATGTTTGTTTGTTTGCTCAGCCACATAGCTCAGCCTAGAAAGCATGAATGATTTCACCAAGTAAGGAACCCTAGGACAAGGTGAGTCCCTAACCTGGGGGCTTCAGGAAATGAATGAAACATGAGCACATTTTCAATGTTTCCTCCTCGTTTGTCTAAAACATTAACCACCATGGACCACATCAATGGGATTTTCTCCACTCTATCAGATGGGAGAATAAAGCAGATTTGAGAACTGTTGGAATGCACTCCCAGTGAAGATTTTTCTGTGAGCTCTACACTTTCATTCTATCCATTTCTGAAGTAGGGAAAGTCCTGAAATTGTCTTGCCAGTGGCTCAAGGGGATGTCCAAGACAGGACTCAACCTGGAGCACCGGTGACCACATTCTTGTCTCCACACAAGAATTCAAGAGCAAGAAATGTGCAAGAAAGCACAGGAAGTTTACTGAAATGGAAGTGCACAAGTGAGGGAAGTGCAGGTGAACTCAGAGACTGCTTCGAGGAAGTCCTGACCAGGGGTATTTATTCCTCCCTGGGACAGGATTTGGTGACATCCTATTGACTTGGCTTGTCATTTTCCTTGCAGTAGGTGGGATTCTCAGTTTCCAGCTCTTTCTTCCTTATTTGGGTCTTCTGGAACTGTCATGACATGAGATGTATGCTGGTAGTCATAGTAACTGCAATGTAAATGAGGTTATAATGACATTATAATTAGCTGAAGTTCAGGTCCAGGTCAGGGGGATTAGCCTTGCTGGATGAAAGTGGTTTTTGTTTTCCTCCAGCTGCAGGTGCGGATAGAGTCACTTGTTACTTGTATAACCAACAAGGCACCTGGGGTTGTATCCTGGAGGGGGTGGTCAATTTCCTACACTACCCTATCCAATGAGGCCAGCTTTGTTTTTAAAAGCCCTAATTCTATTCCTATTCTTGAATTACAGGGTGTTGTCCCCAAATATGCATATTTGATTTTTCCTAACATTCATTTCAGAGCACATATGCTATCTTGAAACAACCCTTCTAGCCTTATACCTTTCTCCTTTCCTAGACTTTTGGTTTCAGGAACTCTTCTGCCGGGTGTCATCCACCATTATTTCTTGCTAAGATGCACACATATGTTCCAGGACATTAGCTACTCCCTTAGGGAAACATTCCCTTTTCTTCAAATGATGAAGTTACCTGATTTTATTAACTTTTCACCAATATACATTATCCATTCTATCTTATTCACTTTTTTTTTTAATTGGGGAATTGGGGAAGGGAACAGTATTGGAGAATTGGGGAAGGGGAACTCTGTGTTTTTCCAGGACCCATCAGCTCCAAGTCAAGTTGCTGTCCTTCAGTCTTAGTTGTAGAGAGCGTAGCTCAGCTCCAAGTCCAGTCACGGCTTTCAATCTAGTTGCGGGGGAGCACAGCCCACCATCCCATACAGGAGTCGAACCGGCAATCTTATTGTTAAGAGCACACGCTCTAACCAACTGAGCCATCCGGCCTGCCCTATCTTATGCATTCTTATTTATCCATTTCTTGGATTTGCACATCTTTAAGTAATAAATTCAGTCCACAGATCTGTAAGGATATTTATACTGGGAACTCTCAAAATTACAAATCTGGAGTTACACCTCTCTCCAGAATAATAAATACTTTCAACTATCAGCTGATGAAACATCTCTACATGAATGCTCTCTCCATCAAATATCCTATTAGAAAGCATTCTATTGAATAGACAGTTTTATTATGGAAATTTTGATGATCCATGTGAGATAACATAAAATGTATGTATGTGTGTATGTAATGTGTGTGTGTGTCTATTGAATAAAATGAACAGTGAATATACTACCCAACCTCAGAACTAGAATAGTCCCAACACCATTGAAGCTGTTTGAGTATTCTTCCTGTCTCATCCCCACCTCCCCATAACCACAAGCCATAAATAATTGTTGATTATTAAGTTGATTATTCTCCTGCTTTTAACAGTTTTTTTAAATCATATATGTATATATCTTTAAACAATATATTATTTAGCTTTATTTGCTT